TGACTTGTTATTTCCAGATAAGATAGATCGGTCATCAGCAAATAATCAAATCTAGCTAATTCTTCTACATCGTTATATAAAGTAAGATAATGATAATTAGTTCATTATGTGTGTCTTATTAATAATTCTTAAGCAACAATATAATATTCATATAAAGTCAGAGAGCAGCGTTTGAAAAATTAAATAATATTATTTCCAAGATATTACATAAAATCATCTAATAATGTGCTTTTTGAACTTCGTCGGTGCATTTTGAAAGGTAGATCGCGTATCACGTGGATTCGTTGTGATCCACGGAGACGTGGATCCTGCACGAAGTGTTCAGGACCTTCGTTCCCGGTGGCGGCGGGTGTTTGTCTCCAAATAATTGGGCGGGACGGCGCGCGGCGTCTCCTCTGCAATTATAGGCAGTAAACGCAGCCACATCCGGTACAGGGAGCTCTAGGTGAAGCCGGGATAATTCCACGAGAAAAGACACCGATTAAGGTCCGATCGGAGAGAGAGAGAAAAAGGACTCTCGCGTCTTTGACGGACGTTGTTAGGGGAAAGAGGTGTGACAAAGAGGGGAAAAGAAGAGGAATGGGGAAAACTGGCTATGCCACTCGCGCTATTACGCGGATGCGAAAGATCAAAATATTGCGATCGTGTGACAAGGTAGTCGTTTCGACACGAAATTAACGGAAATCAAGCTTCCAAAGGAGATGTAGGCATTACGCCGCGCACTGACACAAGAGTAATGAGTCCTCGTTACGACAACCCGTTTCCCGATGCTTTCCTCGTATTTCTTAAACGGCGCAATTTACAAAGTGCACCGATCTCATCGAAGGAAATGAAACGTTGTACCTCGTTCCGCGTATTTGCTGCAAAATGCACGCGTATCGAAATGACACTGTACAAAATAATGAGATGAATTGATTGATGTGAAAGAGGACGTGTAATTGCGTTTAAAAAGACAAGGGCAGACCCCGTCACATGCATTTCTGTGTCTGTGTAAACATAGAGTCGTCAAACGATTCTATTTATCATTCTATAAAAATGTTAAGATAAAGACGTTGCAAGATGACTACACTTCACGAGATATTTCATTCCATTTCATGTCAGAGTGACATGCAAAATAATGGGACGAATCGATTGATATGAAAGAAAATAATTGAGTTTAAAAAGAAAGAGCAATTGCACATTCAAAATGTATTGTTGCATTTTTATAAATATAATAGCATCAAAACTCACTGTATGTATAAAAATATCAAAGTAAGAACGCAAATAAAAAAAATACTAGATATTCTATCCATTTCAGGTCAGAATATATCTATGAAATATGATATCTTGGAAACTATTGATTTTTTTTACATCATTGCTTCACTTGAATATTTTCACAGTAGAATAACTATAAAAATTGATTTATATATAAAATATACGTTTCAGTTCAAAAACGTTTTAATAATTTTAAAATATTAAAAATTGTCATCGCAAATAAAAATGTTTTACCCCAATATTGGTTTTTTCAAATCAAATAATTCTTAATTTTTCTATAGCATAAAAAGCAACAGAGATATTGCAATATTTCGCGTTATCAAAGGAAGTAAATCACATTCTATATATTATAAACACTTTTCTCTACGTCTAAAGACACGCGTTATTAACCCGTATGCTCTGAAATATAATAACGAGAAGAAATTACTCGCCACGAAGGTCATTAAATTATTAATCGACGATCTCTTGAATTATTTCAAGTTTCTTAAATTTTTGTACTAAGCTTTAGACATAAATTGCTTTTACATCAAAGTTCGTTGCAATCGATGCGATGATGCTCGAGATACCTGTGTAAAGGGATCATTAAAATCTTTAATTATCCGCAAATCAAAGAATGGATCGTTGCTTATTAAGCTAATGAAATTATTACTGACGCTGTTACTAATTGTTTCGGTTGTAATCGGCGGTAATTCCCGTGCTCTTCCCACGCAGCCCGTCGGCGCAGTCGGATTCTCGCAAGGATGTGTACGGTTAGATACCGAGAGGAACGAGTAGCAGTTAAATCATTTTATATGCATTTCAATTTTTTTCTCGTATATACAACGTTACACGTACTTACATAACATCACATCGTTCGCTATAATAATAATTATTACCGAACTTAACTTAAGGACATACCTAGTCATACGACGACGATCGTAATGTACGGTATGTATGGTTTATTTTTTTTTTAGCAGTATATATATATATATAATAATAGTATTCCGAGATATATATAATATAATCTTGATTGCATTGTGTGCCGCGTTGCAGCGCGCATGAAATAATATATACAGAACGTATCTAACAATCAAAGAGAACGTACGCCGTCGGTACGTTGGCACGACAGCGCTTCTGCGTATACAAGTATTTCATATATCGTACAAGTATAATGTCTAATTACAACTATGGCGTCTAGTATGTACACGGATATGTCACGTCAGCTGTTCCGTTTCGGGCCCGCATTTCACATCTAACGAAGAGATACTCCTTTTATTCGATGGAAGAAAGTCGAAAATCACATCTCTTATCAGTCATATCCCCCCTCCCTCTCCCCAATTAAGTCGTTCACCGATGCGTCTACGACACAAAATTTAAAACTTACCCGGCCGCTTCTCTGAAATGTGACGTTAAATAAGGATGTGAACGCGGATCTTGAGCTTCGCTGCGACTTCACTCGCGCGACCGATGATTTCTCGACGATGCATAATGCGGGAAAACGTACAGCTTCTCTTTAGGAAAGATCGAGTAACTCAGCACGGGCAGGAGGAGAGAGGGGGAGGGGATGGGGGAATGGGGGGACGGGGGGAGACATTATCGAACGTCCGGCCCGTTCAACGCGATCTGGAAATAACGTTTTGGAGGGGCCACTCATCTCCGCGACTCTATTTCGTCGGGTCGAGACACGTACATGTCGATAATGTCGCGTCAATCGAGGCTAATGACGATAATCCTCGCGTCGCGAGAAGAAACGGACGCTTTTAATGCGACCCGATTGTTCGTACATGATAAATTCACGACGATTATCGGCGCCCCTCGCGCCGCGCGATCGTATACCGCGCTGGTTAACTGCTCGAACCGTGACAATTATATATGGCAAAATCTCGAGCCGTGGCTAATAAGTGATACAGCTCCGAGTATGTGATGTTGTAAGGCAATGTACAATCGATTTTTCGCGGTGCTCTTTAGGACGTTCGTGTTCGATGGTGGTCGCCTGAATATCGTAAGGCAGAAGGAAGGCGAATGCTAATAGCCTACAATCCGTAACTATTCTAAAAGAAAAAAAGGAAACGGAATAAAAAAATCTCTTGCTGTTATTATAATATCTCACGATCGGTCGATGAATGAGTATTTCCTCGTTCGCTAAGCAAATTAAAAATAAAAAAAAAGGAGGAAACCGAACGTAGATCCGGCTCCGAATTCCTGATTCTAGACGCAGGGTGGGATAAGAGGAGGATAAGACCGACGATTCACTTAACGAGAGTTTCTCGGATCGTCGTCGCGCTTCAGCAAATCGGCTCGGCCAGGGGCTGCGGCGGGCCGTAAGGGGAGGCCCATTGGCCGACCGGATGAGTTAGAGCCGTCGTCGATGCCTGCTGCCTGTCCAGGCTGGACACCGGGGCGCCGCCCGGATGCCCGGACACCGACGTCGGATACGCCACCTTGCCGAGGGCCTCCGCTTGCAGGGACAGCATCAGTCGATTCGCGGCTTGCCTCTCGGCCTCCCTCTCCTCCGCTGTCTGCCTCCTGCAACAGAATCGCGCGGCGTTGTTCCAGATTAATCATTCGCCCGAGACCTATAGAACCAAAAGTTACAATAAAGTCAAAGTGACGGTTATTTCGACTTTATTGTGACTTAGTGTTCTACTTGAGGACTAAAACTACCTTTATATATCCGACAATCTGATCGTCGAAGATATCATTTAGCAGAAAATTGTGTATTTCCTCGCGCTTTCCCTCGCGTCAGTTAGACCTTCTAATTAAAGACGTATCGCCGGCCCTCAAATTGCATTTTCCGTAGTTGCGCAAGTTTGTACGAGGATGTGGCTTGTCGGGAGAAACTTCCTGGCTTTTGACACGGTTAAGTCTATGATATAAATCGACTATCCTAGCACTATAACCGAAGTTCTCAACTACCGCGCCGCGCGGTACCATCAGGATCGCCGTAAAGATGGCCTTGCGCGAGGGGAGCAAAGCCTCGACTCGAAGAGGAAACGAGGCGGAGTAAAGAGACGGCGAAAATAGAGTGGCGGTGGTTGGGCGGAAAACAGAAGACGGATGTAATAAAGCTAATTCGATTCGTCACTATAGCGGAGCGCAGGCCACTTTGCGCCGCAGGATCGTTCGCGCAAATGTCTGTTTTCTAGCGTTAAGTCTATTAGGGCGCCGCAAAATGGCCGACTCGTTCGGTAAGGTCGATAGAGCTTGCGCGGCACGACCGCCCGGCGTGACGAATGTCGAATATAGCGAACCCCAGAGGTTGCCTCAGGATACAACATCGTTTGTTAAAATCGTATTTCCGAATGTCGCGCCCGTTAAAAACACATTTTCTTCATTTTTTTTCCCCCTTAAATCTCCTGAAAGTTACTACATCCCGGGATTATAGAGTCCAGGCGCGATTTCGACGGTCGCGAGTTTCTCGTCGACGTCGCTTCCGTGACAGGATGAATCGGGTACCGGCGGGCGTGCCGCGGTAGAGCTCTCAACTTGATCCCAATGTTTTCTCCGCGTTTGTGATCGTTATAATTTCCTAAAACTGGTTCCTCCGGCGTAATGCTCGTGGAACCTTCTAAAGACCGGTGGCGGCGACCGCTCGTGTCCTCCTCACGAATTACGCCACGTTCCCGGGCCTATCGCGGCGCAGGTACATACCTCGTTGACCCTCTTTTTGCCCGCCTTTTCGGCCGCGAGTTGAGCAACGCGGGCTCAACGACTTCCTGTAATTTTCTTCACCCGATACACGGAATAAACGAGCTACCCGGTGCCGCCGCGCAGCGCGGCGCCGACGATCGCTCGCCTTCAAAATTTACTTTCCGATTCCCTCGACCCACTTCGTCGTAATTCCCGTTGTTTATCGTCGGATTGATCTCTTCTTGACGAACGACCGCTAAGCGGAAAACAAATCGCTTTATCTCGTAAACGAATTCGCGTAAAAACGGCGCTTGCGCGTTCAAACGAGTTGAAAGATGTGGCTGATTTCTAAAAAGATATCTAATATTATTATTCATATAGATTTTAATCACTATATATCGCGTATTATGGTGACGCGAACAAATCACAGGTCGAACAGATTTCGAATTAAATTATATGAACCGTTCATCGCACGTTTCGTTACCGCGACAATGGCAGGGCGAAGACGAAAGTATAGAAAACGCGCAAGATTTAGCGCGTTGTCACTTTTATTAGCTTTTAGGGCAATTGAATCTCGCTCGTCCGCGCCCGTCTACGGGATCCGTTGCGGCTACGCCATTGCCGGCAGTGACAGGTGCACCTACGCCGCTGCAAGTAATTAACGCGGTTAGCGATTAATAATTGACGGCGCCGTGCCGATTACATTTTGCAGCCCCGACGCAGCCTCGCCCTATTCGCTGCGGCCGGCATAACTGTATTCTCTCGCAACCTGGGACACATTACTCTTATCTTTATACTTCGGCGCACGCTCGGACCCCCAACGAGCGCGGCGCGCGCTCGATGCGTGAATATAAAGCACGTTCTCGCGATTCTTTCTCTTTAATTAACCCGGGCTGCGTCTCGTAATTTTTATCGTTATTTACGTTTCATTAATAGCTTGACCGTTGCAGATTGCGTCGTGTCTTGCATCTACATTATTTTTGCGTTTTTACTTTTCGAACTAGCACGTTCCATGAAACGCGAGTAAACGTCGGTCCTAATAAGATAAGTTAAAGATAAAGCTGAAAGCGAGTCGATGAAACTCGCTAATCGCACTGAATCGCGACGCACAATACACGTACCGATTGATCCTCCTCGCGCTACCTGTACCGGGTACATTACGCGCGTGATATATCGTGTCGAGTCTGCGAATCGAATGTTTGAACGGTTACCGGCCTGGTCCTACACCGTAACCGATGAATGTTTAACGAGGGGAATCGGTGGGGTCTCGCTCGGGCCCGGCGGAGATCGAAACGATTCAGCCAACGGATTCGAGCGTTTGACAGTTTAAAAGCCAAGAAGCTCTCGGCGGAGAGAGGTGTAGGGGCTAGGGGCTGAAAGAGGTGACGGGGCGCGGCGGAGGATTGGCAGTCAAAGCGAGAAGCTGCGACCGACAGGAGGGGTGAGAGAGAGAGAGAGTGCCCGATGTGCGGCGATGGGAGGGAAGAGACTACATTATGTACGGGACAGGGCTAAGCTGTTAGGTACCTGAATTATTGAGACCGAGTTATCTCATCTCTGCCTACAGTCATCTCGTTACTTTAAACGCAGCTGCACGCCGGACCGTACCGCGCCGCGTCGCGCCGCGCCGAGGCTTACGTCACTTATGCGTGGCCCTCCACCGAAATTCCTGCGACTATACCTTTGTTTTTAACTCTTTACGGGCCAAACTATTTCTCGCAAATAAGCGGAGAACAAGTACTTTGTCCTCCGCAACTTTATCTAATCGGCTGGTTTAACATAAACCAAAGAATTTTGATTACCGCAATGTATACCGCAATGTATTATGTCCAACTCGCAACGTAAGACCGCAAATGGTTAAACTTGAACACTATCGCGAACGGTGATCTTATATAAGATGTAAAATCCTCGAACAAAAAGAAAATGAAAAGCGAAGAAATTACGAAAGACCTCTCCGATTCACCCTCCCCCGTTTTCCACTTTGCCGTAACGACGCGGCGCGGCGCGGAGAAAAAGTCGAAGTGGAAAAGTCTGTCGTGCGCGCGCGGTGATGCGTTATTGATCGCGCGTATGATTACCCTGTCGTGCGTGCGTCTTTAATTAAAAATGATGTACTTGTCACTCCGGCGTGAAGTTAACTCGTCGTAACATTCTAGACAAATGTACCTGTCACGGCGATAACATTTCCGAGCGTACCGCGACAGATAATGCGTGTCGTCGGATTCTAAATTGAATTTCACGTCTGCTCTCCTCTCGCGACGACGAAAAACTTTTCGGTCACCTCCACACGGTGTACGACACCGTAAGACCCGGAACTTTCGACCGTTCGGATCAAATCAGGACGCAAGTCGTTCGTATTTCAATGTCAATACGTCCGAGTTACGCAAATGTTGAGAGTTTTTAAAAAAGTAGGACGAATTAAGCGAATTTACATTTCCATTGCAATCCGTAGTGCACATTTTAATAGACAAATAAATAAAACATATTTCTAAACTGTACGCGTAATTTTAAATCACTTTGATTCCTAAAAACAGATTAGAGAATTGAATAATAGTTGTAACCGAGTCTGCAAGACTTCGACAAAATTATCGCCAATAAAATTAGAAATGTTCATACTTAAGCCCAACGTCGTTTTCAGCTACACGCTGCGATGCGGTTGCAAATAGCATTCGTTAAAATTAAAAGAATTTGTGATTCTCGATCTTTTTTAAGAAGGTATCAACTAGGTAGATCTTCTTCGGTGATTGCGACATTAAAAATGAAGCTTATCGAAATTGTATAGGTTTTAATTTTTAATGAACCGTCTCCCTCACACAAAGTGATTATAGAAAATCGAATTCAAAGGACAAATAGAGTCTTGGATCTGAGGTTCGTGGCTCGTTCGGGAAACTATCGCCGTCTCTCCGAAAACTTCTCCGCAAGTTTACCGCTTTATCACGGCGTTTCGTAGAACGATCCAAGGACTTCACGGCACGACAACGATTTTAGAAATCCTGAGACGAAGAAAACGTGGGAAGGGGTTCGGAATACGGCAAAGTATATTGTATACGAGTCCTCGAGAATGTCGCCAGGGTCCTCGTCTCGCCGCCGAGACGCCCCCGGTATCGGGGACCCGCGCTACGAACGAGCCCCCTTTTATCTAAATGACGTGTTTTTGTCCTTCCTTATCTTGAAGAGACTCCAATACATTTGACTGCCAATGCGTTTACAGATATAGGCGTCAGGCCACGACTAACCCGCTATTAACATTCCGAGAACGCAATTCTCGAGTCGTATTTTCCTCCGAAAAATTCATTTGTCACGGTAACAATGTGCCTCGACAAAAGTCGTCGTTAGTAAGAGTCAAACTAAATAGCTGATAAACTCCACGAAGAGAATCCTATCGCGGTTTTGCTGCAACCGAAACGAAAATGTCGTTCGAGAACTCACCTCCATTTCGTCCGTCTGTTTTGGAACCAGGTCTTCACCTGCGCGTCCGTCATCTTCAGCGACTTCGCCAACGCCGCACGCTCGGCGGAGGCCAGGTATTTCTGTTTGTGAAAGCGCTTTTCCAGCTCCGCGATTTGCAGCCTGGTGAAGCTCGTTCTCGGTTTCTTCCTCTTCGGTGGCGTCCGGTTCTGATAGGGATGACCGATCCTCCTCGGAAACGCTCCTAAATCAAAGGGGGAAAAAAAGAGCACTGATAAGCGTTGTTTCAGACACTGCTGGCGACATTCTATCGCTGTTACGTCAGCGCGTATCTCTTATGGTATTCTTAGCAGACGAGCGCTTAAATTGAAAAGATATCGTCGATATCTTGAAGAAAATCGTAGTTAAAAGGACATGTAATGACCCGTCGTGAGTCATAAATAAGAGAATTTGCTTGAAATACTTGAACGCTTGAGACATTAAACAATTGTCATAATTTAATCGAGTCACCTTTTCTTATTCATGCATCTGAATCGTTATAACATTAATGATATTATCGACGGTTCGATAGAGAAGACAAATTCGAAACCGGGCGATATTCCAATTTATATTTGTTGAACGTCACTCTCTGTCTCTCGTTCGGCATCGGTTCGTTCCGCCCTTCTATATACCAGATAGGCAGCTGTCGGAGTCATTAAGTCGCTTATCTCACTTGTAGTAATAGCGCGCGAGTAACGAGAAACTACGCTAAATGCCCCGTGCGTGCGGTTGTATTTGCATACGTAATGAGAAGGTACACGACATTACCAATTTCACGAGACCAATAAAGGAGCGAAGAATCGGCCGCTTAGATACGATAGCGACCTGTGTACGAGATATCGCAAAAACGATTCGCTTGCCCTCCTCGACTTCTGCTGCGACGATTCCCCGCTAATGGATTGGAACGCGGTCTCTCCGGAGAAAATCCGAATCGCTGAGGCGAATTTAGCGTTTATACTTCGGCGATTATTCCCGCGATTGTCTCCCTTCGTAGATTTCATTCAAGCCACTCGCCGAATTAATTAGGGGATTAAGAACGGAATGCAATCTCTCGCGGACACGAACGGAAAACCGTTCGCGGATTATAAAATAGTATCGTCGTTTGCCCAACGCGAGCCTGGTATTTGTTTTTGCAATACCAACAGTCAACATACTTATTTCGATGCAATCCCGAGGCTCGGGATGGCGGGATAATCAGCGTACGATATAACGGTTTACATTTCCAACTTTGATTTACTGCTAAATAATACGAGTAATACGCTTCAGAGACCCTCTCATTATGCCTCGCATGGGCTCGATCGAAGGATCGCGTGCCTTTAAGTGATATTTATACAAATACACATCACGAATGAGCGCTGGGTTATTCTATGGAGGCGCACATTTTCCGACGTGAGTATGAAATAGCTAAAGAATCAGTCAAATTTTTGTACCGAAATAGGAAATGGACCGGGTATCTCTCTTCATCTCGTCGACTATCGGCCGGACCCCTCTTCAAAATTTGCTGGAAACCGGAGGAATCATCGTTAAAGGGTAAAAGGGCCATCGAGCGAACATTATCCTATTATGCGCCCCCTTTTTCCCACCCCTGCCCCGTTTTGCGCCCGTCCTTTATCGCCACTCCTCGTCCAGAAATACATCCCGTCGCGCGGTAATCGCGAGAGCGATCCAAATAATAATCTCATTACCCGTTCATTTGCGATTCCTTATCGATCTGTAAACGTCAAAATGTGTATCAAGCGAACCCGCAATATCTTGAGCCTAAAAATAATTAATTCTGTCTATATATAAACGATACGATCTTTAATAGCTTTTAAGTGGGGAATCGAATTATGGCGAACGTATAATAAAGAATAAAATGCAGAAAGAATTCCGTGTGCGATTAGAGATTCATTAGCGGGCACGATTAATCTCGATTCCTCGTCATTTACGAGAAGTGCATGATTTATGTGCCGCGGATTAATCAACGATCCGTGGCGATTATAGAGCACGCATTAACATATACGTGCGACACGCAATGTGATATTGCAATTGATATATACTTATAATTGATTTGAGAGCTGCACACACGGACACTCGCGATTGATTTCTCACAACTGTCTCGCGCATGTTGACAGGCGGTGTCGAATGGAGATATAATTATGGCGATGTAATTATGATGACGATACGGCGAGCACCGTGAAAGGACAAATAGAACCCATTCTTGCAACCGTATCGCGTCCGATTCCCATTTCAGGATCCTTCCTCGCGGCGCGGCGGCGTACTTAATACGTGGAGCTTCGGCTTCACATTGGCCTCTCACATTCTTATTCCGCGCGCGCGAATGGCTTTCTTGCGTCATTGCTTGCGCTTATTAGGACGATAATCGCATAGTGGCTATTATACTTCGTTCTATTATCGCGGTATACTAGTCTAGTAGCTGCGCGCTGACGTGGTCTCTCTCTCGCTCTTTCTCTCTCTCGTGATCCATCCGTAATTACCTTCCTTCGCGGAATGGTCAGACACACGCGCGATACAAAGATCCGGACCCGCAAAGCTCCGACAGAACTCTCATGGAGCGGACGAGATGATGGAAACGTTTCCACGTGACGCGTCGGTTGGCGTAAATAGATACCCACCGACCATTGTATTTCTGTAAAAAAAAAAACACGAGTGCCTATCTCTTTAGCAGGAGCAACAGTATAGGGTGTAAGATCGCTCGCCTTTTACTCGGTATATCTACGTGGTAACGAGAAAAGAATAAGAACCAAGTGGGGACATTCTTAAGGTATCATATTGGTAATTTTTATCATGACAAACGTCGATCATTGTCCATTATGTCACTAACTCTCGTAATCTGCATAGTGATTTCTTCGGTCGTTAGTCTTGTTCCATCACATTTAACGCTGAACGCGAGTCTTCACACTTATATTTTTTCTGTTCTTTTTTTCTTTTTGAAGGAGAATCTTGGCGAGTTTTAGCAGAAACTTATCGAGGATTCAACGAATAACGATGTTCATTATCGAGCAGCGTATATACGATCGATAACAAAGAATTAATCGGCGTCTGTTACGACGGAAGAAGAGGTGACCAGAGCTTTCGGTATCGAGTATATAAGAAAGAAGACGGTCGTCTCGTAAAACCAATTAGGCCCCGCCTGCCAGCCGTAACTCAGCGTTTGACGATAACACTCTCGATTTCTGTTAATTAACTGCGTTTAAGGCGCCGCCCGTTTTCCGATCTGACATGTACGTAAACGTGAGTGTATAGACTGCTGACTCGCATCGCAAGCGATATTCGGAAGGAGTTAGGAGTTACCTATATCTTGTACCTAGCGCAGAGGATTAATCCGACATATATTTCACGTAAAATATATGTATATATAATTTGTGTATCCAAATAAGTCGGCAAGAAGAAGCCTAGGACTTTGTTACGGAGATGTTCGATTTGTTTACGCGAAATTGGTTCGTGCAGCTCGATCGCGGCGCGCTTTCGTGTATCCAGCGATATCGTCGTACCGGTAGCCCGATTGCCGGGTAGTCAGTTGTCGTTAGCGTGTTTAACGACAGTTCAGGCATCGCGATTTGTCGGATGGTTAAAGTCGACTTCGACATCGCGCGCGGCGGTCGTTTTACCGTGCAATTTCGGTCAGGTATATACTATGCCGGCGAATCTTTGCGGTCGAAGCGTTTAACTCTGTCGACAATTCCCGATGTTAAGGATCGCTGACTCTGTCGAGGCGATATTTCTGAAGAAAATTTTTATATTTTTATATTTTTAAAGTGATTTTAAAGAACCGAATAGTATAGTATCAAGGGGTGACTCTTTTATTCCTGATGGAATATTGAGGAGAAGATAAAGAAAAAAATAACAAATATTATATTTTCGATTATACTGTATTATTTGAAAATAAAACATTTAAAAATGCTTTAAATATTACAATATTGTTTATAAATCAAAGCATATATATGGCCCATATTAGGAAATCATGGATTTTAGAAAATTGGAAATTATTCAAAATGGAGATCAACGTGATAAAACTTATTGACATAGATCAGTAATATAAATACAGTTTAATAACAGGAAATTCCTTTCAATATAACAAGCTGCAAAGTCTATCGCGAGATTTGCTCGCCGCAGAAGACCGTGGCAAGGGCCTGCCCGCGAGGTGGTCGTAAAAACAAGATGGCGGCGCGTCACTGCAAAATGGTCGGCGTAAATAAATGGCACAGCAGCCTCCTAGCAAAAATTATCTACTGTTTTTTTATTCGTGCCGAAGTTTCGTTTGGTTGACCGTTCTTGTCAGCGGAAATGCCTGCTTGCTTCCGATCTGTCGCCCTAATTTTCATCTTTTATCCCAGCACAACAATTACCGTTTGCCTTAGCCGATATATCGAGAAATACTACTGTTCTATTTATCAGTTAGTCACCATGTATTTTCGTCGAACGATTTCCGTCAAATCTAAAATACTTTGCTCGTCGATTAAACCACTCTGATCATTCCGACGCGAAGAGTCGCACTTTACAAAACCAACCAACCGTTCGTTGAACGTACTTAACAACGTGAGTAATAGCGAGTACCGGTTTCGCGTCATCTTAAAGTAGACACGCCGGAAGTGAACAATTTGTTCACCGATAATTCCCACCGTTCGCGTGCGGTAAGTACTCGGCAGTTTATGACCGCGGAAGCATCGTTTCCGTTGTCTTCTACATGCATTTGCATCCTCTGGATTCGATGCCGGTGAAACGATAAAAGAATTTCGGAAATATAAATCGATTGCCAAAGTAACGATAACCAGATAAAAATCCCGGGATATAACGCGGCGTGGGGAGAAATCGGGGCGAAAAAAGCTCTAATCAGGATTGGCAGTTTTCCAACGGTGACGGTTCCTGAGAACCGCCGCCGCGACGGTTTCGTCCTCGGTGACCTACTGAGCTTGTAACATAACCTTTGCAGCGGCGCTCTGCAACGATGACGATTCCTCCCGCGACCGAGAAAGAGCCAGGTCGGGGAATCGTCCGCGATGACGCAATCCCCTCGCGCCGCGCGCGCGCTGCCATGCCATCGCCGCGATGCGACAGCAGCGGGCGAGCCTAGAGAAAGTCATTACTCGGAGAGCACGTTCTGCCCAGTAATGGAGTTTGCGGCCTTCAAAGTAAATTGTTTTCTGCGCGCGGCGCGGATTTCACGACGACCGGTCGACCGTCGTCGTTGAAGAGGAGAAGATC